ATATGTACAAATTTAATTTTCAAATAAATAAAAAATGCTTAGTACTTTTGTACTAAGTATAATTTATTAACAAAGTTACTTGTGTATTCAAACTTGTTTGATAATGCTAAAATCACATGAATCGGTTGATTTTGTTGAAATTTATGAAATTCTGGCTGAAGTGGTTGATTCTGCTGATTTATGAAAAAATTATATTTAAAATATATTTTACTAATAAAATAAATAAAAAATTATATGTTAAAATGGTCTTAAGAGTAACTTCAGTCAATACAGTCAGAAAAGTAATTTTACCCTTAGTTTTTCTTATTATTACGCAATTCAATTCGAAATCAAAAGTTACTTGTTTAATGAAAAAGTTGGCTAATGAGGGTGATAAACCAAAAAACAGGGTTACCAAACGGAGTCTCAATCATATTATTGAGACAAACGTTTTAAAATTAAAAAATTTGTTCTTGAAAAGGATTTTGCACATGAATAATTATAACACAAGAAAATTTGACGCATTTTTTAAATTATATGAGATGGTTTGATACTTTGATATGTTAAACATATGAATATATAACGAGCACATTTTACGGAGTAAGTACAAAACAAAAGTATAAAATGAATGCCATAACCACATAACATGATGTAAAACCTTTGGAATAAGTTACTGTTTTATAAAAATTGTGGTGATATAAGCATTAGTTTGATACGTAGTACTACGTATATAATGAGAATGACTCTTGCAAATTATCATCTAAAAACTGTTGGTGTAAGCAATATATATATGGTTGACCTGTAAACTTAATTGATTGAACGACCCTTCATATTCTTGTCAATTAGTAGTAAGGAGTGTTTGCATTTGCTTCAAAAAGCAATTTTCAACTTTTAGCTTAAAAAAGCTGAAAATAGTGTTTTCAAATGACAGCTTCTGCTTAAATTAATCACTTAAAAGTTAAAAACTTGAAGCAGGTAGAAGGGTGCTTTAAACTGCTTTTCACTTTTTCTATTACACAAAAAACACTTATTTTACCAAACACTACCAACTTTTATTTTTTCAGAATCACTTTTTTCTCAAACACTACCAACTTTTATTATTAAGTACTTTCTCCAAAATCACCTTTTTAAAGTAGATACAACCGCAAAAACTCTCGTAGTTTTTTCTTCACCCCGTCGAAACGTTCTCTTTTGGCCTAACACTTGCTCTAATTTATTTCCGTGATGCTCTTTCACATTTCTATTAATTATTGGAACATTCTTAGTGTACATGACTTGTATACAAATTGTACACACAACCCCCTAGTTTCCTGTGTACTTAGGCAATTCGTTTAAAAATGGACATGACTTAGATGTCAAATTGTCTGTGTACACGGGCAATGTACATATTTTGTGTGCATCTTGTGTACATCAAGAATGGTCCATAATTATTACTCCGCCATTTATTGTGATTATTAGGCTCTTTAGTTGATGGCTGCCGGACTAGATTTATTAGGCTCTTTTGGTTACTTCCCCAACCATAAGATACATAAGTCTTCCTTTTGCTTGAGTTTTCTGAAAAATGATAACAAGTCTCAAATGGTTTTAACTTTTAAGAGCATATTAGAAGAAGTATCCATGGGTATTGATACGTAAGTCTTCTTTTTGCTTGAATTGGTAAGTTATCATATTATTACTTACAAGTTACAACTAATGAAAGCCGACCCGCGGCCCTTTTAGTTTTTAGGTACACCGATTAGCATAAAAAACATACTCCGTATGACCTAATTGTTAATTTTTTTTTGTAAGTATAGTTTAACTACATTCCTCATTGACAAAAAAACTACATTCCTCAATATTCCAAGCTAAGGTAGTACACTAGTACGTAGAGATCTAGGGGGCTACCGCCCCTCCAACAATTTTTTTAATGTATACGGAGTATATATTAGTATATGAAAAATAATTTTTGCCCCCAATTTTTTTTTGAACCCCCAACATGAATTTCTTGGGTCCGCCCCTGATTACCATAATATCATTAAACCTGTTAGACTTTCAAAATCTAATGACACCTGAACCTATACAACCTCAAAATTTAGTTTGATACTCCGTATTAATTACTCCCTCCGTCCCGCTATGATTGTCCCATTTTATCTTTTCGATCCGTCCCACTAAGATTGTTACATACCTTATTTGGTAAAATTTGTGTGGTTCTAAATCATTCTTACTTTATTCTTACTTTATCAATTCAATATCAACCACATAAATCCACTTTTATTAATAACCGTGCCAGTTTCTCTTGTCCCAAACTTAGGGGGACAGAGGTAGTAGTATCTATGCTATTATATGATCCCAGCAGTTGTAAGTAACATTTTGTCCCATAGTTTATTCATAATAATACTAAGTACTCCCCCGTTCCGTTGAAAATGTTCTCACTATCCTTATTTTGGTGTCTCATTTATAAGTTCTTATTGCATTTTACAAAATAATTTATTCACTTTAATTACACATTTACTCAAATTTCTCTTTTCTACTCATTGCATATCAAGTCTCACAATTTCCCCTTTCCCGAACTTACTATAATGTATTAATCTAAAAACTTATGTGTAAACTCCTAATAGGGCAACTCATTATTTCCCAAAATTATATTCTTGTATATGGTATAAGTTGCTTAGGGTTTTGATTCCTTTCTCTCTACTTGGATGGCGTCGCTTGCTTAGTCAACGATGCCGTCACAGGCGCCACTTCAACAGTGCCGCCGCAGTCCCTAGCCACCATGACGCATGTTGCTACTCTTCCGCCAACGTCTGCCACAATAGCCCCAACACAAGGTGCAAGCAACGACTCTCCGTCCCTGACCCACCTTTCTTACGCGATGGAGCCTCAGTCCACCTCAACTCTACTTTTAGTACCCCCGTCCCTTAAAACTTTGCCAAAGTTAACCAGCACGGGGCAGGGCCGTCCCTGGTGCTGTGCAGGCAGTGCGGTCGCACACGGCCCAATTTGCCCTTCTGAATCAAATAAAAAAATCCACTACATGTAAGAATTGAACTCGGGTTGGATACGAGGAGGATTTAGTGGCTTACCAGCTTACCAAGTTAACTAATTGTAATATTTTGGTCATTAGCTGTACAAATATATATGATCTTTAGTAAAATCAATTAACAATACTTCCAATTCATTGTATTACTCGACGTATATGCTTTTTTAAGTACGGTATTATTTGTATTATTACTTTACTAAACTATCCTAATCCGTATATACATTTGTAAGTTACTTTCTTCATTTCCTTATAGTTACAATTCTTATTAATTTAGATTTCTTTTATTATGATACTTTTATTTAGCAATCAAAATAAGTTTTTCATTACATTTTATACTTTTTGTATTTTTAAGTTTATTATTTTCACTACATGTGTTATATATAATTACTCCATCAATCCCAAATTGAGTTGTAAAATTGACTTTTATGAGTCAAATAAATTCATTTTATTCACTTAATTGGGATATCAATTTTTAATTAAATTTTAAATTGAATTTTTAATATAGGGCCTTTTATTTAATTTCGCACAGGGCCTTTAATATTCCAGGATCGGCCCTGAGCACGGAGAATAATAAAGTAAAAATTGTGTGGTTGGGGTTTGTGCAGAGGAGAGAAATAATAGAAACCACAAAATAATTGATTAAAAAGGAAAGCGACAAAATTTTTTGGGACGTCCCAAAAAGAAAAGATGACAAAGTTTTAAGGGATGGGGGAAGTATTATTTATTTGATTATGTTATTACTTTTAAAATATTATATTATTTTTAATACTTTTAATATTTTGTAGTTAACTTCATCTTTTTTACATTTTACTAAACATTTAGTTTTTCTATTTAAAAACATGAATTGGGTAACTCCTGGAGTTTGTAAAAATTGGAGTTTGTTCAAATTTAATAGAGATGGTGTATAGACTATAGAGTGAGAGCCTACTGCCCAGTCTAGGGTTGAATCGAATCGAGTCGAATAATGAAATTTTGTATTTGTATTTGTTTAATTTTTTCGAATACGAATTCGAATTCAAATATGAAACGAACATTAATTTTGATTTGTATTTGTATTTGTTTAACAATACGAATAGTTAACGAATCATATACGAATATCGAATCGATTTGAGCATAGGTTAAATATTAGTCAAATATCACTTTAAAATAATTTTTTTATTCTCCGTATTTTTATGTTGTAAATGCATGCTATGACATAATATGTGTATTTAGAATTTAAATTTAATGAATCAATGCATTTTTAGATGGTGCACAGTATAATAAATTGAATTAATTTTATGATGGTTAATAAATATAAATCTATTTCAAACTTTTTGGAATAAACACTAACACACATATTAGAAAGACAACTAACTCTAATTTTATTCTTCAAATCAAATACATAATTATTTGTATTGTATTTGAAAGACATTTGAATCAAAAAATTGTTTAGTATTCGTATTTATATTCTGGGTTATTACAAACGGACTTGGAATCTGTATGCAAAAATGTATATATGAGCCACACTTTGAGAGTATAGCTATCTTTTAAAAGTTATTATAGTGTTATTACTATTATTATTAATATTGATATTAATATTACCATTATTATTAATCGAATATATTTGATTAATATTCGAATCGAATACACTGATATTCTTATTTGTATTTGATAATAACTCGAATCAAATTTAATATTTTTGTATTTGTATTTGAATATTCCGAATTCGAATCATCCTATACGAATTTGAATCATCCTATACGAATTCGAATCGCGAATCGAGCACAAATTATTTGATTCATTTACCACCCGCAGACTCTGGACTCTGGAGCATGTATTCCAGTGGTTCGATTCAATGTATGGTTAATTTTTGAAAAGAAAAGATTAGTTACTCTATTTTTGAAAAAGAAAAACTCTAAAAATGAAAAAGTGATACTCCGTACTACTTTTAGTCTATTTGTGTAAAATGCCCATTTTTATCCTTTGAACTCTATTAGAATTCTTCTATACTCTTTGTTGCACCAACGATGAACATCTCATTCATTTCTAGAAAACAAACTTAGATTGGTATCTTAAACATGAACACCAAATTCATCTGTAGATTTTCAGCTCAGTTAAAATGAGAGCGTATACATATATAATCCATTCTGATCCAAGCGTAAATGACCGCCAAACTATTACAGCAGTCAGCAGCTGCTTCTTTAGAGAAAGGCCACCCTCCAGGCTAATCAATGCATCGTTTTTATTCAGGACTTTATGCCTTCAAAACTCTCCTCTCTAATAACCATTACAGCAGCTGGCACTTGCTATTATTTCCCTTTGCTTATAATTGGTTCAACCATACAGCTTGCACTATGAATCAAGTACCTTATTTTTCAGAACCAGGAGATATACGTGCATCAGCATCGACCATCGAAGCGCTAGAGGCCTGTGATGCTTCTAAGTTCTCAAGGATTCCCTCTCTCTTTTTTGGCATCAACAAGAGGCAAGCTACACAACAAATAAATTAAAACTCCATAAAGTTCATAACCACCAGCAATGGGGGCTTGAAAGGGTCACACATCTAAAAAGGTTTAGTGTCCATGTTAATTATACTCCATTCGTCCCTTAAAACTCTATCACATTTGACCAACACGGAAAATAATAAAGTTAAAACTGTCTAGTTCAAGTTTATGTAGAGAACAAAAAAAATAAGAACCACAAATTTATTGATTAAAAACTCAAAAGTTGCACAAGGGCGGAGGGGGTTATTGACTTAAAAACTTAAAAGTTGCATAACAGTGTGATATGTTGATTTGATAAGCTAAGCGTGCGTTACAGGCGTTGAGTGACTGGAGAAGTTGAATTGCTCTAGCCTATGATGATATTCCAGAGACATTCATAGAAATTGGATGGAAGAAAACTCCAAAGAATGCTATTTATTCAATTCCAACTTTGTCCTTCGAATTACATTATTGTTTCCTATAAAGGAATAACAATTGTGATTAATTAATAAGAAAAACACAAACATTTTCATAATTAGGAATGCTAAATAAAACAAAACAAGACAGCGAAGCAAACAAAATCATTGTAATCTTAGACCAGTGATTCGATTCCGTAGATTACTCTTCAAAATTAAACATTATCATATCACATTAAAATTTAACAAAACTTGCAAATGTAATCAGAATTTAAAACACATTAAGTTATGAGACTCGACAATAGAGAGTTATACGGTGCCCTTCTAAACAATTGAAATACGGAGTAGTAGTTAACAATAATAGTTCTCTCTGGATATATAAGTATACTGTATACATAAAAACGTGTCTGCATGTGGGGAGGATACAGGGTGGGATACTGCATGAGTGTATGGGCATGGGTGGGCGTGTGTCACACACACATATAATTCAGCGATTATTAGAAGGGCACATCAACAAGACATACATAGAGTGGGGTCACCCCAAGCTTCTAATAGACATAGGATTATAGGAAACAAGCCCAAAGTTAAGTAGAAAAGAGCATTTAGGTCAGTAGTCATATTGAGGGGCATCTAAGTGGCACGGAAACACGAAACGAGAAATGTGAAACAGGAAAAAAGAAACACAAGAAACATGATTTCTAAAAATATAGGATATGAAACATAGAGGAAACGCGTAAAATTTTAAAACTATAAGGATATATTTATAAATGTTTTTTCTTATGTCTACATGAGTATTTTCATTTGTATATATGCACATAATTTTTTTCATCTAAATTGTTTAATAACTCAATAATAAAAACATTCAATATGTTCAAATTTAGAAATCATTACATATTAGTACATAGTTGAACTTATAATGCAATACATTTCTAGCAAAGTATTGTGTTATCAAATGTCACAGTGTTGGCAAGATGAAATACTACAAAAATTCACTAAGTTTTTCAAAAAGACACTATTTCCCATCACAAAAGCTGATAAAGATAAAAAAAATGAAAACCCATGGTTTCCGAAATACTAATTATTTAGGAATTAGGTTTCCCAACTCTTCTTGATTATTGAAATGACCGCAAAACGGGAATTTGAAATTTTCAAGTTTCTCAAATGCTTAAGAGTTTCCAAAATGGGAAATGTGAGCTACAGTCCACGGGGAGTTTCCATGCTTCATAGAGGGGCATTTAATGATCTTGTACAACCAAGATTGAGGTCCACTTTTAAGTGGGAGATACATATTGAGGGGCATATCATTAAAACCACAATTATATTATGTAATACTCCCTCCGTTCCCTTTTTAATGTCCCGTTTTACCATATTGGGATGTCCCTATCTAATTGTCTCATACCTTATTTGGTAAAGTTTGTGTGGCTCAAAATCATTCTTACTTTATTAATTAATATCAACCACACAAACCCACTTTTCTTAAAACTCGTGCCACCCTCTTCCGTCCCAATATAAAATGGACGGGGCGGAGGTAGTACATCTTTTCTTATTAAATTGTTATTGTCTTTCTTAATCACATTAACTCACTTTCATACTATTTCCATTCTTTAAGAAGTGAGAGCATAACTTTTTCACAAAGATTAAGAAATGTAATAGAGGGTAATGAATAGAGTAGAAAAGGTATGAAAGAGAAGAAGAAAAAGTCAAAGTAAAACATGTAAGAAAGAGAAGGAGAAGAGGTAAGCTAAATGTTTCTAAAAGAGAAGGATAAGAGCAAACTTATTGGGGAGCAACCAACTAGCGGATAAATGCTAAGGAGCCGGAGGCACTTTCGTTGGGCAGTTAGGCACTTAGGCCAACTACGTAGAATAGAATTCTAATATAAATATAGATAAACCCCTAGGGGAGAAGCACGATAGTCTTAATCAAAATTACTCTCTATCAATTATTGTATTCACCACAAATCTATTAATTCAATTTCAGCTTTAGCTTATCATTTACCGTATAATTTCTTGTGCGATTCACATTTTCTCTTATTTGATTGTTAAAAGAAATTGTTTATTTCTTGGTCAAACAAGCCATCATCATCACCATCACTCCTCTTCTTTGTTGATGCATGCATCAGCTTTTATACTTTCCTGGGTAGCAATCTATATCCCATTGTCATTGATCAATTGGTGTCTCAAGTGCCTCAATTCTAGATCTATAGGTCTTCAGGTAATGATCTATCTATGGACTGGATTTAAATAACGACAAATATAGTATGCTCAACAAGGAAAGATCCCTCTTCTTCAACTTCTTCTCTCTTCCACATACATCACATAATACCTAGTATACGAGCTTAGTGTACTAGAGGCAACTAACTCCATGTGCCATATTTTATGCACTCAAAATATGTGTTTAAGTGTGATTTTATGCGGTTGAAATCAAGATGTGCTTCTGTGTGATTCACATTTACAGAGGTAATCAATCCACTTTCAACATAACATCCCTTGAGGAGCTACATTTTGAGTGGAATGATAAAAGATAGTATATTTATCAATATGCCTTTTCTTATCCTAAAGTTATTTTTAAGTTTCTAACTCTTAATCATATTCTTATTCACTTTCCTACTGGACTCATGTGTTTTGTATAAACTCTGGTATACAATCAATATAGTTGTTTATTATCAACACAATCAATATAGTTGATAATTCCATTATACAGCTCCTACCTGAAAAGCGGGATATTGGGCAAAAGGCACAATACTTATAGGAACTCAGCAGTGAACAATGGGCAAAAGGCACAATACTTATAGGAACTCAGCAGTGAACAATGGGCAAAAGGCACAATACTTATAGGAACTCAGCAGTGAACAATGCCTTTCGATTTCCAATTTCCTTAATTATGGATAATTTGTTATGAATGAATGGTGGAACCACATATTACATAAACCTTAGATTTCTTTACAGCTACAAATGCCATGTTCTAGATCCTTTAAATTCAAACTGCAAAATCCCAAAAGGGGTACAAAGTGAATTATTTAAACCTGGGCACGTCAAGATTGACTTTGTATCTGATAATATAATATCATCAACACACATTCATATATCAAACCAGATTATCTTGCAATAGAAAATGAGAGAAAAATCAGGTACAGCAGGAAGAACCTCCAATGGAGAAATTGACGGCCAAGAGCATAGGCCAGAGGAACTTGTACCGCCGAGCGAATGGTTCCTTGAGTGGCTGGTTGGTCGATGGAGGAGGCCTACTCGCCGTCGACAATGACGGCGCCATTGTAAACGACGCTTTACGTTTCCTCTGCGCTGCAATATACAGAGCAGTAATGCGTATAACAGCTAACAAATCAGCCTTCGTTGCTCTAATAATTAATTTATAGAGAAAAGGAAAAAAAAAAAAAGAGGATAGTCGAAAAGAAAATATCTCGATAGAGAATTAGGGATAGTACCCTTATTAGGTTTGTCCATGTAAAGCTTGGGAGTATCTTCTTCCGTCATTCTTACTCAGACTTGGTTGACTATTAACCGCCGGTCATTCCGCCATTTCCCCGCTTGGTTCTTTGTCCTCGATGTACGGCTATAAACCAACCGAACGGAAAATCAAGTACTCCATGAGCTAAAGGAGCTGGACGTCAAATTGTGAATCATAAGACCTACGGGCTACGGGCATATGGACTTTGGAGTCTTAAAGTGCAAAAGTACTTTTTTTTTTTTTTGCTAAATTAGGATGTTTTTAATTTGAAGGTAATTTGCTAATCTAGTGTGATCTAGTTTGTTTAAGTTTGATCTGATCCAATCTGAATTGGTCTGATTTGGTAAATGTCTGGTTTAATAACTATGAAAGTCTGGTCTAATCTAGTCTGTTTAAGCCCAGTCTGATCTGGTTTATTTAAGTCTGGACTGGTCTGGGACTGAAAACAGTCCAAGTAAAAACATGCTTATTCCTAGAATCGGTTTTTTAGAAATTGGGAGAGACCAGCTTATGAAAAACTCATTCTGATTCTGCCTCTACTTTTAAAAAATAAACAGAAGAAGAATCAGTTTCAAACATCCCCTAACGAGTGTTCGGGTCTGCTTCTAAAAAACTGCTTCTGCTCCTTGAGTGTGCATAAATAGATATTGGAGTGTCTAGGGGAAAGTGTAAAAATACTCATGGGTCCAATTAACTTCCGAAAAATTGATTCTTATTTTGATTTTGGATTTTTTTAAGCAGAACATAATCAATTTTAATCACCCCTAATTTTGACTAATAAGATTGATAAGCTGAAAACTAGAATTACCAAACGGACCCTTGTTATACAAAATTCTTTTAAACAAGCGGCGACACAAGTGTATTGTATGTTAAATTATTGTACATGAGTTTCCTGATATTTTAAAAGTTTAAGACTATGTTTGGCTATCAACATTTGAGCCAAAATGTCAATATACATTGAACATAAAACGCTAGAAACGGTGTGTTTGACAATTAGCAATTAACGAGTTATGTTAACAAATTGTTAATAGTGGATTCCGTCAGCGAGTTTGACTAGCGGGATGAGTTTATGAGTCCTAAATGCTAAACCCAAAATGATGTTGTTTACAATTTTTCTATTTTAGCGAGTTCCATCCAAAAACGCTAGAGAAAAACAACCATTTATCAAACAACATGAGTCAGTGTTTTCACTTATTGACAACGTTAAAAAAACGTCAAATTGTCGTTTTTTTTTGGATGAAACACATTTCCAAAGAAGCTCAAAATGCAGCGATTGGATATGGCGTTTCTCCTCATCCGAAGAAAAACAATTCAAACACATCCTAATTGTAGTTAATATAGATTTTGAAAACTTTAGATGTATTCAAATTTACAATCACTTTTTTATATGGTTGAAGTTGAAGCAAATCAGTTGAAACACATCCTATATGCATCTTTCATGATGCTTTCACGGTACATGATTGTATAGATTGTTGATAATAAGTACTGTCATCGGAATTTGGCTTAGGTAATTTTAAACAATATTCATTTTAGTCTTGAGCTACTTATGAAAGATGCAACACCCCTCATGAACTCAGCCTCTTACACTGCACCCATTTCACATTCACAAAGAAAGATTCTTATTTGATTAAAAAATCTCACAAATAAAATCTCTCACATCCGCACATAAAATTAGTTTGAAAATGACAATATATCACATAAGTAATTTTGGCTTATTAGAAAAGATAAATGAAAAGATAACTGTAACATTATATTCATAATACACACGCAACTCGCACTTAACTAATTTTTTTCAATATGGTCTGTGCAATCACACACACCACACACACATATGCAAATGGGAGAGTTAGGAAACTAAGAATGAACTCCCAATGAATTTGTTCCTCTCTACAACCATACCCCAAACATGTATGTAAATGGGAGCGTAAGAAACTATGAATAAATACCTAGAACCCACATATGCGTGATGCGCTACTACGTGTGGTTTTAAGTATTATCACGTCCCATTTTATAAGATACATTTTCCTTTTTAGATCATTCAAAAATATGAACACTTTCTTAAATTTAACTTTACTAGTTTTATTTTCTCACTTTATATACTCTGTATCATTTTAATATTTACTCCCTCCGTCCCAATTTGATGATCCCGTATTTCCTTTCTGAGCCGTCCCAAATTGATAGTCTCATTTCCCTTTTTGGAAAGAAATATGTGGTCCACATCATTTCACCTTTTTTTACTCAAATCTCAACCACAACTTTTACCTTTTCAACCACTTCCTTAATCTTTGAGCCCAAAAGAAATGAGATCATCAAATTGGGACGGAGGGAGTACTTTTTATAGATCCAAACTTACATTTTTATTTTTTGAGGATGAAATCGTAAAACAACCATATTATCTTTTATTTTCTTAAAATCCGCACTAAACCCACATGTATCTTACATTATTATATGAAAGAAATCCTCTGTTCTTTAATTCTTGCAACGATTTGACTTTCACGTATGTCAACGCACAACTTTGACTATAATTATATTTAATTATGTATTATTAAACATTATAAAAAGTTGATATTTTGAAAATTCACATTGATAGGAATTCAATAACATTTTATATGTAATAATTTGATTATGTATATTAGTAGAAAATCGTGGTCAAAGTAAGGTCTATGAATAGTGCAAAAATCACAATGTTGCAAGAATTAAAGAACGAATCAGAAAAAGTAGGTATTAACAAACACTATTGGAATGAGTTATAAGCTTTACTGCACCAACGGTTTTCCTACATGGTTTGATTGATATTTTTCTGAGTTCTCTAGAGCCTAGACTAGGTCCTTATTATCATTTGTGCAATTGCATTTTAGAATCCATTTTTGTTTTAGGATGTTTTTACTTGGACTGTAATTTTGTTGGTCTGGTCTGATCTGATCTGGTCTAGTTTCCTTGTATTTTTATAACTATCCAAGTTTGTTCTGGTCTGGTCTGATCTGTTCTGGTTTGTTCTGGTCTGGGACAAATTATAATCCAAGTAAAAACACCCTTACTTCCCTTGACGGAGAAGTTGGATATAATTTTTTGCATTTAATTCGATATTTGCAACTTATGTCACATGGTATTTATAATCTATTTTTTGTTTACTTCCCTTGAAGATTACAGATTGTGGCCACCCAATCCGGATATGATCTTGACATTTTGATATTTACAACTTATGTCACATTATATGTTTCTCTATTTGCCACGTAGGAGTTTGGTCACATAATTAAGCTCTCCTGGAAATAGTAAATTTTGTGGTGAACAAATTAATGCACCCTGAAAATAGTTCTAGAGGTCATGTATCATTTTCCCATCCCCTTTTAAACTCCAGCTGCTGAAGTGTTGTTTGGCTGTTCCCACATACTGATAAGCAGTTAGTAGTCCTTTGCTCCTGTGTTAAATTGCTGATAGGCACTATGTATTTATTAGGTATTTTCTGTTACATTTATTTTCTTGTGTAAGTAAATTTTAATAAGTTTTTTTGTTATGTTGATACTTGAAATTTTTGTCTCAATTAAATACTACGTAACATGCATGGTTCATAAGCAAGGATTGTGACTTCATATTCATCTAAAAAACCAAACGTGAAAGTTCGATCGGGTAGTTATTTTTCATATTGTTTTTCCCATGAATATTACTAAATTAAATTCAAAAGATAAAAGTGTGACTTATTTTAAAATATTCCAAAAAGTGACAGATTCAATGACTAGTTTCAAGTGACTCATCATCTAATTAACAATGACTTGTCATTCTAAAATACATACCCTATATAGTGACTCTTGTTTAGTTCACTTAAATTTTATGTCATTCACTTATTGTACTCACCTTTTTAGAATAGTATTTAATTTTAAAATTAATTTAATCATCAAAATTAAATAGTAGCAAATTGTAATGAGTGGTGTCAATTAATTTTCCATAAGATACTCTTCATCGAACATTTATTGTGTGTGTATTAGGTTATTATACTCTTAATTTTCGAAAATGTACAATGCTAAAAAGTTATTTTTATTTTAATATTTAATTAGATTCAGAGTAAAAAATATATGCACCAACTTCTTTTTCCCGTGCGTATGCACGAGTACTATACTAGTTGTTAATAAAACTTTGTTCTTCATATGCATTGTCCTTTCTTTTCATTACTATTTTAATAAAACTTTATTTTCTGTATAAAAAAAAAGAAGATTAAAAAAAGTTATCGGAAAAGTGGTGTCACACTTTACCACTTTTTTTAAATTAATCTTCAGCATCATTTCAATTCATTCTCTTTCTCATGTATTATGTTTCTTTTATTTTCCAAATAATGTGTACATAGATGAAGGAACAAGAACTATGGTTTTTACTAAAATGGTAAATGGTCAAATTGACATTTTAAATTTATTCACAACTATGATATTTAAATATGACCACTATTAATATACTAGTATGATCTTTATATATCTTTCATAGAATAATAATGATTCACTGTTGAAGAGGATAAAAATCTTTCAATGGTCAGCTTATGCTTAATTAGGTGTTACTTTTGTATATGAACCTTTTCTTCTCGATCATTTTTGCATCATATTGTTTACTAGCTAAACACAGACAGAGACATCTGATACTTCCTCATTTAGCAATAAATGTCTTCAGGTATGGCTTTTGTGAAGACAATCAGGTGTTTCTCAGGTGGTCCTTAATTAGGTTGGTGGACTTGAAGGGTGAAGCCCATGTGTTATTGCAACATTTGTCTTCTCTCCCAGTTCCCAAAGAGAAGGCAATCTAGAATTAGATCATAGTTCGGGCTATATATGGCTTAATTATCTATTAGATATTGAACTTTGAAGTAGATAATATGCAATTGAAGTGTTTTCCTATAAGTTAGACCACAAAGTAATCATTATAAGTGAAAGCCAACAAAATAATGCACCTTTAAAACCGAAATAGTTGAAATTTCAGATGACATTTTCTGGTAGGATTTCATGACTACATGAAGTTGTGATTCCATTAAGGCAAAAGGACGTGAACCAGTAGTAACATGCTAAAAACTAACCACGCTGCATGACAAGTAACTTTTTGTTTGTGTCCTGTATCATAACCTAACTGTTTTTTTATGGAGATGATATATGATGTGCTAGCTTTTATAGACATGCTGCCTCATAATAATTTACTTGCCAC